ACCAATTAATATTTCTAATACTTTATTTAAGTCATGAGGTGATCGAATTTTTGGCTTGAACACCTTTTCAAGTAAATAAAGTCTTTCGGGCTAAAACAAAAGAAGAATTTTCACAATTCTAAAAAACAGCAGCAACATTCTATAAAAAAATAGAGAATCGTACGAAGAGCAAATTAATAACAGAATCAATGTGTCAACATCTATCACTCCTCCCTTGGAATATTAATACAATACTCTATCTGCGCGGGTAATTCGAATTTCAAGCACTATCCGTTTTTCGTCTTATTAATACATCATTCGATAGAGCTCGTCTAGCTGATCAAGAATAACTGGGTTTTAGCTTCTTAAATATAAATTTTGACAGAGAAATTTTCAAAATAATCGAAGGACTTTAAAATTCAGAAACAGTCTTTCGACTGAAAAAATATCAAAAATTTCTTTCTATTTCATTTTGCAATTCGCAAACTTATGCTTTTTTATTCAGCGTATGAAACTGACTCTAGAAATTTGATTTAAAATTTGATCGTCTACAATACTGTCCATTTAAAAATAAAAGGATGCCTTAAAGAGCGACAACAGATTTTGTAAACCTATCTGATTTTTACCGGTAATGGATGGAAGCTTGATTTACATCAAATTCTATTCGCCTTTTTACCAGCAACAAAAGTAAAACGCCCTTTTTTTTTTGAAATTCCTTTCCGTTGCTGAGAAAATTCTTTTCTAAATCAGAGGCGAAAAAGTCGGAATCGTGCTCGCAGTTCTCAATTTTCTCCATCAGAACCCAACTTTTATGCAGTAGAAATATGATAGTCAGAATCAGAATCAGCAGCTGAGTCGACTAATATGTATTTCGAAATATTTAGTTGATTTTCATTTTTCGTTCAAAATCTCGATAATTTTTCAACGCGAAAAGTCGACAAAAACTATAGTAGGTTGATAGGATAGAAAAAAGTAGTGCTCGAAATTCGAATTACACGAGCTTTACTAACCTACGATGCAAAAGTAAGTAATTGGACGAAGTGTCTCTCATTTTTCTTGTGAGTAAAAAGGTTGCAGAAGGATCAACAAGTTAGGTCTACATTTAACGAGCTTTCTAACTGTGTATTCAAAACGTTTCTATCAGTTTTGGTCTTTTATTAGCAGTACTGACATTGTGTCTCTTTTCGTCATCATTATACAGCTGTGCCAGATAACACCATTCCAGAAGTGTATGTGAATCTTTGCATAATATTTTTGTCAAATCAAAGCCAAGTTTGATGAAATTACTAATAAATGCTGGTAAATCTTTTTTTAGTGCATCCATAAATAATATTCGTTTGCTTGCAATCTAAAATCAAGTAATTTGGAATATAACTTTTAATATTATAAAATCAAATATTTACATCGATCATATCCTCCATATAAAGATTTAAATGTTCTTTGGCAGCTTTAGCTCGACTCCATTTTAAAGCTAAATTTAATTCATCTTTGTGATGTAACTGTTTTCTATATTTTTTTATCATTGTCTCACGAGCTGTAATGATATAAAACCCAATCTGTTTCTTTTGTCTACATTTAATGATGATTACGTACCTTTAATATAGGCATCAAAAATAGTATCATATAAAGATGTATCAATATTTATACTGAATATTTTAATATTTGTTCGAACATTTTTCTGTAAACAATACATGAACATTGCCAACATTTCTAATGATATTTCAATTAGTCCATCGGACAAACGTTGGTACAAATGTGATTCATGAAATTGCAAGACGGTCAAATCTTTTATCTCTTCTTTAAATACTTTACATAAACCTTCTCTTATATCATCTTCATATATTCTAAATTTATCCAATAGCGTTTTCTGTCTAAACGACAGAACATGGAACATCAGTTTGTCTGCACTTTCCCAATCAGAAAATATGACAGGGTTTCCTTTTCGGGAGAGATCAATTATTTCTCGATCGAAAAATGATGCGATACTGCATAGAATCTTAATTCAACTGCTTCATTCAACAAATCGTTTTGGAGAACATTACAAATAATGTCCACACAAGAGTCGCTTTGTTTTTGTGAAGGGCACTGTTTATCCTCGACGGTTTTCAGGTCATTCCTCATTACTGTTAATATCTTCCCTAACTTTGACAGTATAAAGATTACATAAATGCCTAGTGTATGCCATTAACAAATTTTGACGTCGTGCGTTTACTAGCATCGCTTTCGGTATATGTTTTTGCTTCAACTTTATCAAATCATAGATGGTAGTGCGATGCCAAGTAATATGTCCAGCATTAAAGTATGAAGCCTTGTCTGATTTTGAAGTCATACCTTCTCAATGATCTTTCCCCAAGAAGAAAAGCTTTGAACTCGATAAAATTAATGTTTTTATTTCGAAAAGTACATATGCTGGATTTATTTATATTCAATCTATTAACCATTTGAAGGCTAGTCAGTAGAAAATTGGTTGTTTTGGTTTTCATTTCTTTTATGTTTTAAACGTGAGAGATTTTAGATCAGAACATGAGCAAACGGACTGAACATCTGAAACTTTCACAGCACTTTCGTCACCATACCCTTTAGTCATCGGGTAACGCTGAACTTTCTTCGCATGACGCAGGACGAAAGTCCTATTTTCCAGTGACAAAAGTTCTTTCAGCATGTGACAAAAAGTTTATCTATGTTTAAATAGTGGTTACGAAAGTTAACCCCTTTTGTGACGAAATTGTTGTGCTTTTTCGACAGATGGCGTAGCACTTTCGTCACATGTTGCATGAAACGGCTAGGATGAAATCAAGGTTGTAGTGCAAAGTTCATTAGCCCTAAATGCATCCAGTGGATAATAGCCAAAGAAGAATGTACTTGTTACACACCATTTATTCCAGTAAATTAACAACGATATATAGTATATTATAGCTACCGGAAGATCTCTTAGGTAAACTGGGAAAAGCACATATTGTACAAGAGAGAGAGAGAGAGAGAAGAATAGAAATGATGTAAAGAATGAGCAAGTCTTTGTTTGTTGCAAATATATCAATCAACGAATCACTACCTCAATAAGGATAACTGGAATCTTTTCATTTAAATCGTTATAAATGTTACTTAATGTGTGCAAACCGCCTGCTACCACAATTGTGACAAGAGGTACTAAATTAAGTAAGATTTTAACTATTTTCAGCTGAGTAGATTCTTTATACGCTTTATATGAACTTTTTCTTCTCGCTCCTCTTGATATTTCTCTAGCAAGTTTAGATCTATAACCTCCCGAATCAGATGGATTAAGTGTTCCATCATCAAGTAAAATAAAATGTGTATGATGTTGCTCTAAATTATGTTTGCCAATTTCTCGTTTTGCATCGATATACTCTGACGTTTTCTAAACAGGAAACAAATAGTCAGCAAGTTGAAATTTTATGATGATTTTTTTTAGTTTTCTAGTTACATTTTGAAGTGTAGAACGTTCTTTTATATTAGCCCATTTACTGACACCAATTGCAACAAGATTGTTCTTTGGGTTCAATAAATGATTTTTGTAAATTATTTCACCGACGACACGTGGAACAACTTCTTGTTTGTATCCATTTGTTATAATCCATGCATCTAGTTGGAAGTTCTAAGAAAATTTAGTTTACAGTAAACATATACACTTACCGGATGCAAAGGCAGCATCGGTGATACCACGAATAAATTCTTTTTCCAAGTGTTCTGTCATTGTCGCACCCGCACCACCAATAATACACAATACCATTTGAGGTTCTAACATTTTCCAAATATCGAAGAGAACTACTGCTAATGTATCTGGATCAGTTTCTTTAACATCACACGTTATATACTAATTTCAAGAAAGAAAAGGACGAGACGAGTTACGGACAGGTACCAAGCAACAGTCTTTACCGGTGCTTCATTATGCGATAAAACACCGTATGCATTTGTAGCCATTGTTTTAGTATGTTGTTCCCAATTCTAATTTACCGATTCAGGTTCTCGTGAATAATCTTCGTCTTTTAGATGTTCATCTTCTCTACGATTACAACAGCATAAATCGCTGAATTTATAAAAAAGAAATGTATATACATGAGGGATTGTGATACACATGCTACCGTTTCAGACTCTTCACGTCTTGGGGTTGATGAAAAAAACCTCCACTCTTTTTACATATTCTCAGTCATATTGTGAATATATGCACTGAAAATACGGTTAGGCACGGGTAATAAATAGAACATCATTTTTTTTGGTTGTAGTTCATGTGCGTCTCACTTTTTAAATGATTTGTCCCTTCCTTTCCCTATAATAGCACCGTTCCAACTGTGCCTCATTTCAAAGTTTTCACACTCTATCAAATGTATTACCACTTCTGATTCCACTTAACTCGTTTATTTACAAATCTACTCTCAACATGTAGTCTAAAAAGATTCACTTATTTTTTCCAGAGATCATCCTAGCCCTCCACAGTCAAGTTTATTCATTTTCATTTTCTTTATGTCAGAAGGGGACTAAATGCACCGATAAGATATCAGCGCAAAACGTAAAGTTAGTACTGCTTTTGATTACAGAGTAATTCAAGATTTACTAAAACTACGTACGAATGGACCTCTGATTGTCCAGCGCCATATTTTCTTGACTAATCTTTCCAATAGTCTGAGGCAGTTTTATAGTTTGTGATCTAGTAACCGTCCAATAGTAGTTGTAACAAGTTTGTTGAGTTGTTTATATAGTTTTGACACACGTACTGAAGTATTTGCTCACGTTGTGAAGAAAACACTTTCTGCTGATCTTTAAGGTGTTCTGAAACTCTGCTTTATAAATATCGATATGTCTTTCCAATATATGCTTTACTACATTGCGGTTTTTTATATGCACGTATAAAAAAAAGGTACAATTCTAGTTTTTCGATGGTAAATATATTCTTTCCTATCCGAACGTATTTGAGTCACTGTATCAAAAAAAGAAAGTATTTACCATTTTTTCTGTACAGTAGTTTTATGTTGAAAATGACCTGTTAAGGTCAAAATATCCAGAGAAAATAAAGGTCATGATGGAATTCAAAACAGCGGTTCTATTAATCATGTTTTTAAGATGAAGAAACCTTTCTTTTTTAGCTTAAATATTATTACCGTATGACGCAATATGATATTACGCGGTAACAAGATCATACGGTAAAAATGAGAAACATTGAAACTGATTTTCAGGAGATTTTTTGCAAATTGACGGATAACAAATGGCAATAAAGCCAAACTTTCAGCCTTAGCGTAGCGGTCTTTTTTTAATCAGTATTAAGTGGTTGTGATATCGAAAACTGCTTCCTTGAAACTCCTCGCATCCCGCTCTCTTATCCAATTCTCTCTCACCAATCAACTTTCTTACAAAACTGTCCTTCAAAGATTTCTAACCCCCATACTCATCGTCGATGATACGAACAAATGAAAATTATACTATTCGATACAGAGGTGTAAAATTTTCCTTTGAGACCGTTTCGGACCGTGAAAAACTATTAAGAGATTTGATTCTCTTATGCATCTAGGAAGCAACGTATATTGATGGCTAGTCCTTTATTTCTGATCTATAGAAAGCGATTTGACTCGTGATTTATTTGTTCCATATCTTTTTTCATACTGAACGCTAATCAATACGTGAGAAAGTGATTACAGTTCATTTGATTCTTAGAATCGATATTTGACATAGTCCTCATCTTTATCAATATCCAGCATCCAAAGTTATGAATTATTATCAGGTGAACGCTCAGATGTAACGACCTCACTAAAAACTGCTTATTGCTACTCAATTATTTGCAGCTACTTCTTTAAGGCTCAATTGATCATGTGAAGTACGTAGAATTACATAGGCTATCTGATCTCCGCAAAAGAGGAACCGGAGAAAATACGATTATGTAAAATCACAGAACAAATACTGCAAAACTATCTCTATGATAGACTCTATTGTCACTGTTGCGGTGATAGGTGAAAGTCATCGCCATCACGTCACTGAAACATTTGCAGCATATATTTCTTGTGACGCTACTGGCGCATAAACAAAAAGATCAACTAATCTATTAAACTCATACAAATATGAGAAAGACCAATCATGATCATTAAATTTCTCTGTAGCTAACTCAGTTCATTGATATCTTTCTGGAGATTTATTCTAAAAAGTTTTTGTACAATTCCTAGCTCCGCACACCTCTGATTCGATACATCTAAAGAAGCTGATTCGAATCCACTAACTTGTGGTGCGTTAGGCTTTTACTATCATTATAGAGAACATTGTTCACTTCAGTCCTATTTTCAGGTGTGATGCTTTCTATGTACACATTCTGTACTTTTCTTACATATGTCATTTCATTAGTACGATTTAGTAGAATATTTGGTATCAATAACAGCTTGGCTATGGACAGTAACGAGAGAACAGATGAGAGCCTGGATCCCTAATTCGACAAAAATCAATCATATCGACCTTGTCTACCGCACGGTGCCGATGTTTTAAAAATTATAAAACACATATCCTTGATGAAAATTCGATGCTTTTTAGGCCCTGTCTCTACGCTTGCAATCAAGATCGATATAATGCGGATCGATTTCCGGTTAGGCATGGATCGATTTGGAATAATCGATGTTCAATATTCGATTCCCAATCCAGACCGATGCGTGTTTGTTTCCGGTGAAACTACCAGGTACAATTTTTAGCATAAATTCTGCAAGCAGAGTCCTGCACCGGGATTGAGTATTCGTTTAATAGATAACTCAGTTCGAATGCTAAATGTTTTTCTAGTTGTACGATTGATAGAGAATTTTTCGGGTTTTTCCAATCCGTTGATCATTAGTCTGAGGCCAAATATATGCCAGAGTTGAGAAGGTACTCGTTTGATAGAGGATTTCAAATTCTCGTACAACTCGAAAAACATTTAGCATTCGAACTCAGTTCTCTATTGAATGGATACTCAATCCGGAAAAAATCCCGATGGATGGCTCTATCTGCAAATCTCTTTGGAATAAGCTGACAACACTTTTCCCTGTAGCGTGCTAGAAAAGTGTTTTCTGACCAAAGTGAAGTAGTAATTTAAATGGCAAATTATATTCTATGATACTACATCATTGCGCTTCTCCTTCTTGACTGTAAAAGAAGCAGAACCTCTACGTATAGAGATCTACTAATGCAGAAATAAAAGAGGAGACTTCTTCACTAAAAAAACTTTTCCAATCGAGCGGGTATTAGTTTGGAAAAATTGAGCTCGGGATTCCGGAAAATTTTTTGCGGGTGTTCGAATTTCGAATCAAAAATGTCAGGCCCGCAGGACTCTACTGCATCATGTTCACTATCGATATATGAACGCCAGGTCTTCATGATTTCTTGTGTAAATTCTCTCTAATAAATGGTACGTTATCTATGTTAATCAATCATTTATTCATGTTAACTCACCTACGTCTTCGTTGAGGAATAAAACATTTGCATACTCGACGCTGAATTTTCAAATCTTTAATTTTATTCGCTTGTGTCTCTTCTTCTTTCACGAGAACAAGTTTATTCTAAACATAGATAAAATCAATTGATATCGAGCTCTGTTGATACTTTTCATGAAAACATACCAAATTTACTCGATGTGTCATTTGGATAACTTGCTAGAGCGGTATACTATATGAAAACTATTTATTCCTTATATAACATGGTCTGCAAAGAAAAGGCAAAACAACTGAAAGTATCATAACATAAAAGTACAGAACATTTTCTATATGTTACTAGAAACTTCTTATATAGCTCGTTCTTTTTCGTGTAGACGCTATTTTTAATTATGGATCGCGCTGCGTACGTTTGCATTAAAGTATTGTAAGACTAATTTTTTATCGTCTCCTTCCCGTACATTCCCTTAAAAAATTATGGAAAACTTCAGGGATCAAAAA